CGCCCCATGCCCCTCCTCTCCCTCCTCCCCTTCCACCACACCAGACCTACCAGCTAGAGGCAGCTGTATCAGAAATCAGATCGGTATCAGCCAATATGCCTCCTTAAATATTGGCATCAGCCCCAACAATCTCTATCGGTGCACCCCTACTCAGAACATTTCTTACATCAGAACTGGAGTTCCTAGACAAGGAAGCTAAATCTCTCCATATTGGTAGAATGCAAAGGTGCTGTGATGATGGAACTCCGAGTGGCAACCATCGATCCTCCTGGATCATGGTGTATGTATAGGGGCCACCCAGACCTTTGATACATATGCCTGGGCGGGAATTTTTGGAGGGGTGGAGGCTGTCCAGATCTTCCATCCTCCCTTTAGGCCACTGAGATGGAATCCAAAGACCAGACTGAATCCAGATGTTTGGTGCCTCCAGGGCTGTAGTTGTATAAGTGTCTGGGAATCGAACCATTGTGGTAGACAAGGATTCTACCACTGAAACACAGGGGACTCCTGGAACTCTGAGTAGAAGCATATAAATGGATTTCCTCCTCCTTGTTTCAAAAATCCAAGTAACAGCTGTTTTTCTCCTCTCTTTCCCACTCTCTCCTATGTCTTAGCTCCAATGTGTCTTGCACACAATTTAATTGAAAAGAAGTTGCATCATGAGCCCTTTTTAAGCCTGTTTCATAGACCAGGGGTTGTCAGCCGGGGGTATGTGTACCCCTGGGGGTACTTTGAAAGGTCCTGGAGGTATGTGGGGGTGGGCAGGGATGGAGCACTGCTACCCTGCACCGTGGCCTCACAGGAACAGAGCCGGGTTGGGGTGAGAGCAGGGCCGCCCTGACGCTGCTTGCCACCTTCTGCCTCTGGCTGCTTGCTACCCCATCCCAGGGTACACTTACTAAAAATGGGGCTGCTGGGGTACACACGTCTTAAAAAAAGTTGAAAACACTTGTTATAGACCATTTGCTATTTTAAAGTCTTCATATTTTTGTAGATTTTGTGGTGTCATTTTCTTTCCTCATGTCTTTTCTTTTTTTGGACATAGACTTTAATGTTTCTTTTTTTCTTTAATGTCTGGCTGATGGGTGGTAGGCATGATTGAAAAGTGCTATTTGTTCATATTTCTTTTTTTTTTTTTTCTTTAGCAGTCCTTCTCAAAAGAAGAAAAATATCCATCCATTTTAAAGATGTATGCTATGGAAATAGTTGCTTGCATTCTAGAGCAAAGGCTTCTATTCCTCATATTTTTCTCTTTAATCCTTGAAACCACGGTGAAGGCGTTTGTCTTCTCTCTGTTGTAAAGCTAATCAAACCCATTATGAATAAGGTTTTTCTGCTTCTTGTCAAGTATTTCTTCCTTCAGAAGACTGATTTAATGCTTTCTATCTCAGACATGTTTTCATGTTTCTATGAAGAAAACTCCAAAATGTGTTTCCTTGGAGTATTACTGGTATGAAATAACAGGAAGCTGTGGAAAATTCTGTGATGACAGCTAAAACTGCCATTAGGCAGTTGCCTGAGAAGTGGTCTCAATTTGAGTTTCTGAGACTGTGTAAAGAGAGAGAGATTGGTACTGGAGCCTTGTTGAACTCTGACTTTGTAGAATCTAGACTTCAGGAAGGGAACTGGTTTTTCTGTTTCTTAATGGATTTAGAGAGAGTTAAGCAGTTGGGGGGCAGCTGAATACCAACTTGATCTTTCCTAATGGCGTGGATAATGGGAGTTGTGTGCATTCTAAACTCCATGTGTAAGATTGTGAATGCCATCCTTTTATTCTGGTCCAGATCTGCATGATTTGAACAGGACTTTATCTAAGTTGAGGCCTGTTCAACTCTCCTTCCCTATGATGTTGCTTGTTAATTTGTCTGTAATGTGTGGTTTGAAATGTACCAGATTCCTACTAAACATCCATCCTCTCTCTTCCTTAGACTCCCCTTGGGATAGTTTGAGACTAAAAGCAGCTGAGTACAGATTCTGGGGTGGGATTCCTATATGCAATTCTCTTCTGGAAACGTTGAACCTTGTCTGCCTTCTTCCTAACTAGGCACTCCAGTTCTATACTGGATGGCTCACTAAAAATCTCTGAATTTAGAGATCTCTAATTCTGTTTTATAGACCATGATAGGTTCTTCAGTATCCTATAAACATCCAAGCTTCCTTCATGTTGGGGAAAGTTAAGAGAGAAAAAATGAGGTAGTCCTGCTGTCCTGCCAGAGTACATCCCAGACAAGCAGTGGATTATCTGGCAGTATGCACGCAGAAAGCTGTCAGTAGGGCATCTGACCCACTAGGCAAATGTGCTTGAAAAGAGTGCTATGTGGAAATTCACTGGCAACAGATTCCACTTAATAGAAAACTTGGAAATGGCTCTGTGTAGGCTCTGAACCAGTCGTTTACTTGGTGTTTCATGGCAGAAATATCTCTTTAATCTTGGTGCCTCCATTTTACCTGTGGCTAGAAATCTTGTTTACAGAATGCCACTCTTCTCACTTATTTGACCCATCCGTATTAAAAAGTGCTGCTGTGTGGTAGAACTTAATTCTCAGACTTGCATGTGCATTTTACATCCTTTCAGTATGTGGGATTCATGGATATTAGGGTCGGAAGGGACCTCAGCAGATCATCGAGTCCGACCCCCTGTCCCCAAGTAGGTTTTCTATTCGGAACAACTCCAGAGTGTCACAACTGGAATAGAAGGAGGGCTAACTTTTGCACAATCTTAAAGAAATAGGATACTCTTAAAAAATCATACTTGTATGTAAATATTTTGCCTGCTTTTACAGCAAATAGCATGGTAGCTGAGAGTTGGACATCTTTCCCTCCTGTCCCAATACATGAAAGCTAGCCTGCATTAGCTTAGGTCTCAGTGAATGAAGATTGAGTTAAGAGCTAGCACTTGGTCACTTACCATGAAAGAGCCGAAACACAGCAAAGTCCCACCCTTCTTTCTTTACAATGATTTGTACACCAGTACATCTATGTATAATGGCACAGAACTCCACCAACAGATCAATTGAGGAAAAACATCCCATTGATGTGGCACTCATTCTCTGCCAAAGTTTCATACATTGTGAGTTAGGTTCACTATTGCTCTGCCCCTTGAGTAGTCATTTTCTTCCACTTTCCACTGGGAGAAAGTGCTGTTAAAATAGTGATGCATTTTACTTCTTTACATTGTTGCAAATGACTCCCTAGAACTTGAGAGCAATAGTGAATTGGGTCCCATGGTGGCACTGCAAGTTTTTTTGAAGACACTGGTGTAAGTGGATGTGCCCAGGGTGGTCTTGGAATTGGAAGAGAAGAAACTGACATAGAAAAATGACTTCCATTTTGGGCTCATGGGGTAGGCTGTATGTAACTGTCTAGTTGTAACTAATCTGCAATCAACATGGCTGCTGTCCATTTCCATCTTCTACAGATCAAAGGAATCTGGGCATGTCTATGAGGGTGGAGCGCTCCACACTGGATCAAGTGAAGAAACGCTTTGAAGTGAACAAGAAGAAGATGGAGGAGAAGCAGAAGGATTATGACTTTGAGGAGAGGATGAAGGAGCTTAGAGAGGAGGTAAGGTGTTGGGCACATGCTGCCTGCTCTGCATAACCTGAAAGAAATGACAGATTCCTTAAAGAAAGCAGCCATTAGCCCCCTCAAATAAATAAGGTGCCCCAGAGTAAAGGGATATTTTATAACAAATATCCTTAATACACCCGCATCACTCTGGGGCTAACAAAATGACTTCTCTTATTCTACCTTTTTCTCGGAAACCCTTATCCTTTCATCTGAATTGTTATAGCAGTTATTTTCAAACACAGTAATGGTTTTCAAGGTACCAGACAGTGAGAGGGACTAGAAAATACAACCTTCAGTATAGCTGATAGAATTTGAACAAGTAGATGAAAAGCTTATGCCTCTCCGGATGAGATGGTCTCTAAGGTGCCACCTTGCCCTGCCTTCAGCATATTTGACTTTCATAAAATGCATCTGATCCCAGAATTCAAACTGATGATTAAAACTGGTGCTGTTTGTTTTCTTTAATGGCTGCCTTAACACTAGTGTGGCCTGTGGTGCTGATGTGGGATGAGAACTTTTCTCACATAGTTTATTGCAGCTGTGCAACCCCCACGTGTGCCTTGGGAAACTTCCACTGGAGCACGATGTGTGTGTACACAAGCTCTGGGGAAAAAAAATCAAATACCCCATGACATTTTTTCCTCTTAGGCTTTGTAACAAGTGTTCCTCCCAGGTGTGGTTGCAATGGCCCGTGGTGGCTGCTCAGTTCTTGTGACTCTTCTTGGGCAATCTCCCCTTCCCTTGCCTGCCTTGGTGTTACTAACTTTTAAGTAAAAGGAGGCTTCCCAAGCCAGGTCTCGCTCATGACCACAGGTGTCTATGGTCATTGTCTTAAGGGCCAATGATGTGGCCTCTATCCTCTCTAATACCCACTCCCATGCCTTGCAGATGATACTCTTTCCTGATGTCCTGTGCCCTAGGGCTGTGTGAAGTTTTCCGGCTGTTTCATTTTGATGCTGTTTCGATTCATTTCCAGCTCAAAACAGTGACATTGAAATGAAACGAAGGGCTTCGAAACAGCCTTGAAACGAAACGAGGGCAGTTGAAATGTTTTGCATTTCGAAGCTGAAGCTAGGCTTGCCTGCAGGGAAATGGAAAGTAAGGAGAGGGAGGGGGAAGAGTGGGGAAGGACTGCTCTGACATTGACTGTGTAGCTGATCAGTGACTATGACCCTTCCCTGAGGTCCCTTACAATCCCAGTGCTCTGGGGAAGGGATGAAAAAATAGCATAAAAGGCAGCATTGTCTAAACTAGCCTCCTTTCTGCTTTCGGGTCAGTTACTGAGCTATCTTCCAGAAGCTCAGGAGCATTAGACAGCAAAGGCTATTACTACCATTGATTTCCTACTTGCTAGCCTAGCAAGTGGGATTCCGCAATACCTTTTGCTTTCTTTCTAAACACTTTTATTATTGTATTCATTGATTGATTCTTTTCAATTTCATAATTATATTGCATATTATACTATAGAATTTATATAAGAAGATACACATGTACATTTATATATTTTTATAAAGACCAGACACTATGAAACACACCATAAAGCGTGCTGGAAAGGCATCTGGCAAGCCTTCAGGGAGGGGCGGAAGAGGGGGTAGAGGGAGAGGTGTAAGTCGTGTCCATCCCCTCCCTCTCCTTCCCCCCCCCCCAAAAAAAAAAACAAAAACAAACCCAAAACAAAACTGAGACACAGCCTCTTTGCTACAGCAACCAGGCATGAGGCTTCCACTAGTACAGGCAGCAAAGAGAGGCTCCCAGCAGGAGGGTGGTGCCCTCCTTGTATGAGTTGTGCAGGGAGTACTTGAGGGAGGAGCTGTGCAAGGCAGATTCACAGGTGGCCTTACACTTCATCTCAGATATCTGGAATAGGTGGGGTGGAGATTGCCTATCTCTCTCTCACAGGGCACTGGTGCGACCAGTCAGGCTTTTGGTGGGCTCTTCTTTAAGCTGACGTGATGGATGAGTCCCACACGACAACAGAGCTCATGGGGGCCATGAACCGCTTGATGTAGGGGTGGCTCGTTGGGCAGGGCAAGCTCACCCGCGGGTTCATGGCCACTGACAATGGGGCCAATATGGTCAAGGTGGTCTGTGATGCCAGCTTTGTTGGCATGCACTGTGTGGCACACAAGTTCCACCTCATAGTCGTGGACGCCTTGGAGTGGGTCAGGGCTGCTGGTGATGACGCTAGTACCACCAGCAAGCTCATTTCCAAATGCAGGAAGGTGACAGGCTACTTCCACCAGAGCACAAGCAGAG